TGTTTAGTAATTTAATCTGTTTTTTTCTTGGTTTACACTGTGATTTTGTTTTTATTTTACCTGACTGTATGCGCATTACCCTTTTCGAATAAAGCTAAACAAAAAAAAAAAAGAGTGGATGCGGCTGGTTCGGGTAACGTAAATGACGTCACTTCCTTACTGAATGAATGAGACGAAGTAGGAACAAGTATCTGCCTACTGTGCGCGCATACTAAATTGTAGGTACTAAACAGTATACAGCATGGATAGTAGGTACTGTCTACTGCCTACTGACAGATTGTGTAGGTACTTGGCAATTTGGATACAGCCAAGCACCAAACCAAAAGCAGACCAGGAAATAAAACAAAAATGTCTAATCACCACAAAAGGTTGTAGTTGCCCAGTGTGATGATTGATTGAGATGCTACAAAGATCCTCAATTCACAAGCCATTGTCTCTGTCTGATTGTTCAAGAGCATTTACTCTTCTTCACCTTCTGCTCTGTTTGCTCAAAGTTATGTTACACAATCTGTATGTTTCCTGGTACATACTACTTACAGAAAAAAAAAATCCAGTCTGGCTGTCTAGGAAACACGAGATGACTGATACAACACTTTTAGAGAGATGGTGACAAATGGAAGAAAAAAAAAAACCCCTTAAACCTCCGACAGTTTCAGGGAAGTATACCCACGCAAGATTCAAGCTCTTGGCCTCGTTTCGTTGCAGCAAATGAGAGTTTCCAGACAATCTTCAGATATTGTGAAAGACCTTCTTGAGGTTTTGGACAGTGGTGAAAGACTTTTCCAAATCCTTAACCCTGTGAAATAATAATCAATAAAATTTGTTATTTGTTATCATGATGCAAAAAACAATCCTTTGAAGAAACAGCCTACAATCAGCATCCTACTTCCATGGCAACAGAAATAAAATGACGAAACTGTAGCTTGCATGAGCAATGTATTGCATGAAATATTTATATCCAAATGATATAGAAAAGTGACGTGATAACAATGTTCAATGTTGTGATTCAAAGTGCAAAAAATAATAAACATCAAGTAATGCATATTTGCTAGAATTCACAAATGGATGTTAATTTGCTGTTCTTCATGTTTTACACAACACTTGTTTTTGCAACATGTTGCTCCTGAATCCAAAACTCTGCTCAGACTGCCAGATCAGGGTCAATGCTATCTACGCCGCTTTGACATCTTGCCACCATCGGAGGCAGTAACAGAGGTGTGCGCGCGCTTTGCTTGTGTGCACGTCTTGACTGTGTGTGTGTATATGTGTAGCTCCTGTTGTGTGTTTACACGTAATGCTCCCCCAACACCACACTGCTATGTGAATTCACAAACTAGGACACCAAAAGTATGCCGTTGCAGAATCAATATGAAAGTACAAAGACAAATGAGCGCAGAGCTTAGTTATGGCACTGTTGCAGAATCACGGTCTGAAAAAAGGTTCCATAAAACTCCAGAAAGATTTAAGCATTGTTTTTCAAATTAAAAAAATGAATCTTATTTATTGCTAAAAATGTAGACATAACCAAGGCGCAGATGGCCTAGCGGTTAGGTGCCCCCACATGTACGGTGGCTATAGTCTTCCAAGCAGATGACCTTGGTTCAAAACTGGCCCTTTTCCTGCATGTCATTACCCTCTCTCTCTCTCTCTCTCTCTCTCTCTCTCTCTCTCTCTCTCTCTCAGTGTCCTACACTATATCAAGTGTTGAGCAACTTACTGAAAAGTAGTAACTAGTTACAGTTACTAGTTCCGACTATCAAAAAGTAACTGAGCTACTAATGGTAAATGGACTTGCGCTTATATAGTGCTTTCTAGTCTTCTGACAACTCAAAGCACTTTTACTTTTACATGCTACAGTAACACGTTACTTCACAAAACTGCCTTTCAAAATAAAGGCTATAAAAGCCATTGAATATAATTAATTTAGACTTTTCCAATGTTTTTTTTCCGAATGCCCATATGACGATAAAGATGAAATTGTGATTAATTAATTGCACAATCTTACACGCAATACAGTATCTTACAGGATAGAAACATTTGACATGTGACAAAAAGCTGTAATTAAATGTCTTTATTCTATAACAATGTTGTCTTATGTTAAAATGAATGTAAATAGTCTCACGCTTAGAGATTCCCCCTGTTAAAAAACGGTAAACAACTAGCAGTAGGGTTGCCAGGAAGTTACTGTAAAATTAACGGTATATTGCTGTTGCTGAAATTTACAGTTTTCTACCGTTTTTGTAAATACAGCAAATAGCTGTGATTTTAAACCTTAACAGGAAAATACTGTTGAAAGGATTAACTGTTTGATACTGTTTATTTACAATTCTTCACAAGAGGTATATTTGCAGATTTTTACTGTGAATTGTAAATACTACACCTAGCTATAGATTAATTTCCTTCTATCAAAATGGACACAATATATTTATTTTCTAAACCTAGTGATTTGATAAATGATTCCTTGCATGTCAGGTTATAAAACACCATGTTTTAAAATAATAAATAAACAGTGCCTTTAAAATTGCAACTTAAAATGTTAAGACAAATAATAAAACTTCAAACTGTCTTCTCAAACCACATCTGTCTTTATTGAAACTGTGACAAAAACAAAGAAAATACACTTAGGAACATGAAGGTTAAATAGGCAAAAAATCTCAGAAATATTTACATTAAGACATTTAGCAAAGGCCATTTCCAATGTATATAAAGTGCAGAGAAGTGAAAAAAATTATACTTTCATAACTGAATAAACAACCTGTCCTCTGAGGGAAACTGGGTCCCTGGACCTGCACCTCCCTCTGATTTCTCCTTCCAGACTGAAACTGCCACAAGGATTCTGTAAAGGGAAAAAACAACATTAGAACAAAAGCAGCTTCAGCTGAACAGTGAACATTAACATATGGGCAATCCTTTCTAAATATTCTCATATACAAATACGGAAAGTAAAAGTATGAAGTAGAATTAGTATGAATAAAAATAAGTTCTGGAATTACTTTAAGTACATGAATTCAGGATGTATGGCAGCAGCTTTATGTGTTAAAATAGTAAAAAAAAAAAAAAGCATGCTTCAGGTCCATTCTGACAGTCTCACTAAAGTTCCTTTTATACATTTTCAAATACTGTATATTATACTATTTATACTATAGCCATATTGCCTAGTAGCCCAGCTAATCATCATTTCTAATTCTATATTTAATCAATAGTCAGTGTCAGTTGAAGCTGAAACAAAGATAAAGTGACTGTTTTTGTTAGCTAACCTTACCATTCTAGTACCACCAGGCAAGTCAAGTTCATTATAGCCCACTTAGTTAACCACATCACAAGAAAATGTTTTGTGTTTTTTCCCATTTAGTAACTGTTAAGATCTGTATTTCAAGCAAATGTTAGCTGGCAAAGAATTCACTCACTGCGAGTGTGTCTGCCTGCAGTGTTTCTGTGTAATTTCCAAATCTCGCTAACGTTAATCTTACAAATGACTTCAAACTTAGTAAGTGATGGTTTTTGCCTATTCTAACTAGCAAAGCAGTAAGGCACTCACCTCTTAATTGTCAGGATGGAGATGGATGACAATCTGACAAAGCCAACTCCACTGTCCTTTCAACCATGTGGTCTCAACTTCTTTTTCCCAAAATGCATTGCAAAAACTACGGTAAATTACCGTTTTGTTTCCTTCAAGCAATAATACAGTAAAATATTGTTATAAACCGTTATAATACAGTAATGTCCTGTATTCAAACATAAAGGATCATACTGTTGAAATTTCATTGTAAATTTACAGCAATATCTTGAGTACCACTAGTTGCTTATGATATAATGATTTATTTATAAAGCCATGTTTATTTCAGTGTTTCTGCTGTAATAGGTAGGTCTATAACTTAAGAGTACTTTACCTCGTATATATTTATAATGTACCTGCTGTCTTTTTTTTAAAAAATTTTTTACCCGTGTTGACTTTTTTTTTGATTGCTCTATTTTGTGCGCAACGCAACCATATCAACATTTTGAACGCCACCCTGAGTGTTGAAACCCCTCACCTCAGTCAGCCTCTGACCATCACCGCGCCTGCATGTGTCTCCTCCTCTACCTTATCCGCCCCCTCTCTCCCTCCCTCCCTCCCTCCTCCTCCTCCTCCTCCTCCTCCGCACTCCCAGCACAGCAGCCCCCCAACCTGCTCGCTCCTGAAACAAGGTAAAGCCTGCATCTGCATGCAAAAAAAAACAAAAAAAAAACACCTGAGTGCATTCTGTCCGGGGTCCATCCCTCTGCTGCATCTGTCATCAGTCACACATTTTTTTCCTGTTGTGTTACATGAGGAGCCTTCATTTATAACACACTGCAGTCCAGGCTACCACACCTGTCTGGAGCATCGCATCCACTATCACCTCTGCGTTCATTGGGGCTGTGAGATTCGTAGCATTGTCTATGCACACAATATCGGATACAATCACATCTAATGGCATTATATACGAATGCAAACACTCAAACCACCAGCAAAACAACACAATACTCCCTCTCTCTGTGGGGACCGTTGCAGCATGCTCTCATAACAAAAGACTGAGCCCCACACACACACACACACACACACGCATGCATGCATTCATTTATTCACTGAACATGTGCACCAAACCAGGAACAACAAAACGCTTTATGACGAGGATGGGCGGGCAAGCACACAGTCGTAGTATTCTTATCATTACCACGTTACGCGCATGTCCGCGGTGCTGAAGTTTGCTTTTTTTAAGACACCTTCTCTAAATCTTTAATTATGAATTGAAAAACGCAAAATGACTCGGGAGGGATTCTTGATTGCTTTCGCATAAGTAGGCAGTAATTGAGCACATGTGTGTGTGTGTGTGTGTGTGTGTGTGTGTGCGCAGAATGGGAGCCCTCATGTCAGCGACCAGAACACCACCCCACCTTTTAAGGAGTTAGAAAGAGGAGGGGCTTACAGTAGTAGTAGTTTTCCGAGCCGAAAACGAGGAGGGACGAAAGAAAGGTGATGCAACTGTTATTTAGGATCTATTAGCTGAAATAAACACACACACACGCACACACACACACACACACACACACACGGAGAGGAATGCGCACCTGCACGGTAAGACAGCCCCTCTCTGAGGGAGTCAGAGCATGAGGTGTTTCTATCCTTCTTGTCTTCTCAATGAATGATACGCTTTGCTCAACGCAGACTGGCTGAATGGTGACTTATTTCTTGATCCTATGCTTCATGCTTAGGCTGTAAAATGTGCCAGAATAAGCGTCAACCATCTGCTGAAGAACAACTTCACCACGTGTCTGTGAAGTAGACACTTGATTGTAAGGTGCTACCTGTCAGAGTAATTCACACTTGAGACGCATACTGTTGAAGCTGTAATGCCGGTAGGATGAAACACGTGGCACGGGTTGGGGGTATCCCCCTCCCTCGTTGATGTGGCTCCAGTCAAGGAGGAAAGAGAGAGGGGTGGGGGCCGTATTTCCGTGTTCTCTAAAATGCTGCCTTTCAAAGTAGTTTACTCCGTTTACTGATGGACGGTTCAGCACAGCACCTATTTTGTAGATATGTCTGAAGCAGCTGGTACGGGGATTTGTTGTCCAGTCAATCCAACCTCAGAAGTTAAAATGATAATATATGATGGATTTATGGTCTGTAATCATTTAAAAGCAAAATCAGAATGTTAAAACTCCTGTGAGGATTTTTTAAGTTAGTCATGAAACAGACTGATGCCGCTTTCTGACCTACAAAAGGAAACAAAACCACCAGCCTAAAGAAGAACTATTTCTATACAGTTATTTGGAGTTTCTGTTGGTTCTTCCATGGGGTTGGTGTCAGATTAGGTGATAACTTCAAAGCTGCTGAAATTGCCTTTTTTCTTTCTTAGAAAAGATTCACAGTTGGTGCTTTCACACTAAAAATTCCTGCTAATTTTCCCTGAAAGCCCCCTAGTGATTTTGTTTTTGCTGCGTGAATTGCGGTGAGATGTTAAAACGCAGCAGATTATGTACAGAATAACTGTTCAAGTGAGTGGGAGGAGTAGGTGACGTTTTATCATACAACTGTAGGCATGCAACTGATGCTTCTGTTTGTATGTTCCCTGTTCCTTTGTTCATATTGTGAATGTGTCGAGCTACACGTAGCATTAATATAATGAAACATTTTTTAATAAAGCTTTTAGGGCCCGACTGATATGTGATTTTAGGGGCCGATACGATATATTAGGAAGGGCCAATACCGATATAAATTTTTCAGACTGTAGATATAGAGATACACATTTTTGCGTTGATCCCTCAAATGCAGTTATCAAACACTTATAGAAAATATAATTAATGAAGACATGATTGCCACTCAGCTGGAAAGTAACTGTGTGTACATGCACTGACACTGCTAATATTGGCCGATATTATCGGCTGGCCAATTAATCGGTCAGGCTCTAATAGCTTTGTACAGAAGACTCTCAGTGGCTTCATTGGCCTCTTCCATGTTGCTCTTTTTAGGTCATGTCTTGGTGCCTGAGACAACCCACCCCCCCCCTTGTCTGACAGGAATAGTCCCGTGCTGTGAGGGAAATTGTGTGAACAGCGAACTCAGGAAGATTTTAAGTGATAGTTTCCTTAATTGTCTAGAAATATTCAAGAGTGCATATGTTAAAAAAGCTATTGATCGAAATCATGAACCTGTTTTTCTTAAATTGAAATCACACTAAATTAAATATGTTTGGCCTATGGACTATTGAGACCAAACCTGGGAAATTTTATTTGGCATTTCAAGCTTCGTTTTTAACTTCATATGAATCAACGAGTGGATAGGAAAACAATAGCTGTCCTGTATCTTCTGTATGTATTCCTGTGACTTAACCATATTGGTAACCAGACTGAATATTTAAAGTAGGGTATGTCAACAGAAGTTGTGTGTGCACGAATGGCAGTAACCCCAACCCCCAACACATGCACACATGCACACTCCACCCCCCACCCACCATGTCCTTATCCACACAGGAGGACCTTTCTTTTATCCAGACTGAGAGGTTTCTGTTTGCTCACCTTATGCTGTGCTCTGAAGGTAACACACAACCTTGAGTGTGTCAAAAGGGACTCCAATCACAACCCCTTAATCATTATTTGTGCCCCCAACAACCATAAAAGCACCGAAACTGTGGTTTATAAAAAAGGTTGTAACATGCTTATAAGCAATTTTTTTTTAACCCAATGTTAGGTCAAATCAACCCAACCTATAACCCAGCAGCACTAACCCAGCATTTGGGTTATGAAAATAAGGCTGTAATAAATCTGAAAATCTACAAAAGACAAACTCAAAGGAATAAAATGTTATGTTTAATTTAGGGCTGGGTATTCCCCACAACCTCACGATAAGATAAGAATTGTGACACTTTAATTTTGGATAATGACCATACATAGAATTCACACCAACACCGTTTTTTATTGTTATGAATAACAGCAAAGGCCTCATTTTAAATGAGTGATATGTAACTCTGACACTGCAGTCCAAATTCATTAGAGAGAGCTGTCCTCCCTCTCCTCCTGAGAGCCAATGCACACAAGGATAGAAACCTTTCTGCGTTCAAAAGCATTTCTTAAAATGTATCCAAGTTTGACCACGTTTCTGCTCGTGGAGCTTATTAGAAACACGCAGAGGCTTTTAAGCTCGGCTAGAATCAGTTGTATCAGTTCATCACTGCAACACCTGTTGGTTTGCTGTTTGTCTGGCAAACGGAGGCGTGTCCAAAACAGCTGTTGGAGTGTCCTTAAAACCCCCTACTTCTCTAATCAAAACAAAAACAGACCATTCATCACTTTCTCTACGTCTCTCAAACAATGCTCCTTTCTTAGTACCCTCAGATACTGTGTATTGTCAGAGTAATTGAGCTTGTATCACTTTGAATCACCTGTTATGGAAAAATATTAAACATTTTTTCAACAGGTGTTTTAAATAGCTTCAAAGTTTCAGTTATTGACAGCACTGGTATTTTGTGCGTTAAAGCTTACACTCAGCTGTGAAGAGATGAGGAGAGAGGAGAGGAGAGTCAGAAAGAACAGGATGTGTCTACATATGATGCAACCACTTGGGGCCCCAGTGCACAGATAGGCTCATAGTAGAGGAACTTGGGCCCCTAAAAGTTGAGAGACCCCTACCCGAGGTAGAACAAAGCACGACCATATTTTTTCATAACTTGAACATGTCTAGTTTATGAAACGGATTGTTGTATAAAAATATTTTACTGCAAAATAACTTTTTTTGGATGTTTTATGCATCTTACCAAAAAAAATAGGTCAAATTAGGGCTTCTCCAAAAGGGACAGCTCTAGCCTTATCACATGTATCTCTGGGAATCGGAATCAGAATTTCACCAAATTTGGACAGGATGTTCACAGATAGTTATTAGTTACAATTATGCAAAGTTTTTATCAATACCATTTTCAATTTTTGAATTTTTCACACTTAAACACACATGTAGTTTAGGCGGAAATTGAAAACTGAAACAAAAATTCAAAAGGTATGTATATCAAAGTCTGTCATTTTTTAATTAAGGACACCAAACATTAAAATATGTCATTTGTATCTTCTTTAGACTGTTATCTCAACATAAAAGCAAGTTATTTGACTTTTCACTTGACCCTATGCTGTCACCAGCCCCTAACAGGAAACTAGTGCAGCCAGGATTTCAGGGCGACCTGGTACAATGGGGCCCTATGGATGTGTATGTGGGAGGAGGTGGCCACAAACAATTGATTAAGACTTAACAACAAGACACAATATAATTGTATTCTGTAATATATATATATATATATATATATTAAACATTTTATAGTTATTCCTAATACACTTTGTCTCATATTTTCTATCTTACATATGATTTATATGATGACACTCAGAGTTAACCTGCTGCTTTCAACAATATTGTCACCATGACATTGTTTCTATTTCATTCTAAAAAATGAAAGAATTGTCTTGACATCAGTTGTGAAATATTAATGAACTTAAAAACAGTATTGATATATTTAACCTTGAGTTCTTAGAAATTAAATATACTTCATATAGTCTATTTGTATATCGCCCAGACAGCCTGTTGTAGTTTTTTTAATGTATTTCAGTCATATAAAGATGGTGTGTAGTCACCATATCTCCTGCTTTTAAGATGAACCCTAGTTACTCCAGAGGATACACTGGATGAAGGGATAGTTTTTATAATACCACAAGTATGATAAAGTGTAAAAAAAAAGCTACAATAGCTATTTTTTTTGAATGATTTATCAGGCAACCAATGGAGCTGGGATACAAAACAATTCTTATGATGGCTTAAATGTGTGTAAGGTAAATTAGGATAACAATCATGCAAACATGTTTATAAAAAACTTCTTTATACACTTATTTTACTTCATTACATATAATGACATTTGATTTTAATTACAAAGGATGATTTCCACTTTTAGAAAAAAAGGTTATGGTGTCTTGATTTGGTTATGTTGTCTTGATTTGGTTGTGTTGTCTTTGGTTGTGGTGCCTTGATTTGGTTGTGTTGTCTTTGATTGTGGTGTCTTGATTTTTTTGTGGTGCCTTGATTTGGTTGTGTTGTCTTTGGTTGTGTTGTCTTGATTTGGTTATGATGTCTTGATTTGGTTATGTTGTCTTGATTTGGTTATGTTGTCTTGATTTTGTTATGTTGTCTTGATTTGGTTCTGTTGTCTTGATTTGGTTGTGTTGTCTTTGGTTGTGGTGTCTTTGGTTGTCTTGATTTGGTTGTGTTGTCTTTGGTTATGTTGTCTTGATTTGGTTGTGTTGTCTTCGGTTATGGTGCCTTGCTTTGGTTGTGTTGTCTTTGGTTGTGTTGTCTTTGGTTGTGTTGTCTTGATTTGGTTATGTTGTCTTGATTTGTTTGTGTTGTCTTGATTTGGTTATGTTGTCTTGATTTGGTTGTGGTGTCTTGATTTGTTTATGTTGTCTTGATTTGGTTATGTTGTCTTGATTTGGTTATGTTGTCTTGATTTGGTTCTGTTGTCTTGATTTGGTTCTGTTGTCTTTGGTTATGGTGTCTTGTTTTGGTTGTGGTGTCTTGATTTGGTTGTGTTGTCTTTGGTTGTGTTG